GGCCCAGGCTGGATTCAAACCCGCCAGCTCAGGTGTATGTGGCTGGTGCCTTAGCCGATGAGCCACAGTCGCCGAGCCCCTCTATTTATGCTTTTTCTTCTCCTGCACAGATATCTCCTCTTCTTCTACCACTTTTTCTTCTTCCTCTTCATCAACTTTAATTTTAATCTTGGCTATTTCCGCTTTATTTTCAGTAATTTCATTGTCTTTACCTATCTCTTCTATTTTGTATTTTTTACAACAGGTTGAAAGTGTAGAGTCACCAAAAGATGATCTGTGTTCACATTTTTCTGGTTTTGCACATGCCTTTTCGGTTCTGCTTATTTTCTCTTATTGCTCTATCTTCCAAAATTCTCAGCCTGCCCTCTGATTTGGCTCTGTTCTCAGCTCCTACCACAGAGCTGAAATCTTCACCAAAAACTTCACAGCAGAGAGGTCAATCAGCCCTGGTTGCCTGAGTCCAGGAACTCTTTCCCAGGTGGTTGGCACTGTCTGGCCTACACCTGGAGCCCAGTCTGTGAGACCATCCTTACGAGAACCGTGTCTAGACCTGAGGGCTCTGACAACTGCCTTTTCTCCTCCATGGGTCTAAAAGTGGAAGTTACACGCTCAGCCAAATTCAAAAGAGAACCTGCATGAGCAATAAGCCATGCTCCAGCTAATTTCCCAACCCCTGGGGAACGATGACCATAATAATTCAACATTGTAGATGTCCACAGACCTGGGTTCTATATTTGGAGATTGCTGGAACCTCTGTTCCCACAGATATTTCTGCAGCTGCTCTTATGTCTGCTTCAACTACTTCTGGCAGCAATTCTGAAAGTCTGGTGGAGGCATAGGTCTTTCTGTCACCAACTTTTCTGTAAACACTAAAAGTATGTCGACTGATCTGAAATAAATTTTCCTCATTTAGAGAAACGTCAGCCATACCATTCTCCACACTGCATTCACGTAATACAGTTCTTTAGTTCTTTGTCCAAGTTATTTAACAAGGACATTGCCTGAACAGTTGTTGTGCCCACTTTCTCAGTGCTAAATCTCAATCTATAGCAAACGGGCTGTGACCCATCCCAGGCACACAGCTTCCATTCCACGGGGGGTCCAGCCCAGGTATTAGTCCACCCATTTGTGAATGGACCCCTCTCTAAGTTCTGAAACAGCAGGACTATGGAGATGACTGGGATCCAGCTTTTCTTTCCTGACTGACCCCTCCTAGTTTAGCATTAGCTACAGCTAGAGCAGCAGTTCTCAAACTGTGGGTCGAGACCCACAGGAACTATATTAAAAGGTCTCAACTATAAGAAGGTTGAGAAACACCGAGCTGGATGTTCATGGGCTTTTTTATTTACTATTTTCTTTAGAACCTTCTTCAGTTGCTAATCAATGTTGTCCTCCATCAGGGCTGTGAATGCTGCCAATGGCTTCTGCCGTATCCTGAAATTTCTCAAAATGTTCTAGTTTCACTATCTGATTGTGAAGTTTCAAATTCTTTCCACAGTCATCAACCTCTTGAAGTTTCTTCTCCCTTAGAACCTTAACAATGACATTTCAAACAGCACCAACATGGTGAGGCTGGATCAGGCTAGTGCAAGGCCTGCCATGAGCTCCTATGCAAATGCTGCATATGCAAAAGCTGCAGTGCAAAAGATCTACTTCGCAGCCCCCAAGGTGCTAAGGCCTGCCTGAGTCAGAGCACGATGCCTAAACATTCCACGTTGAACCTCCCCCCATGTTTCTTGAAGGGAGTGTCCACTGCAGTTATTTCACTCTGACTCAGCACTGCAAGACTGGGTGAGGCGAGAGGAGTAATTCTCTTTCTAGTTCAAGAATCTCTGCACCCAAGGACCCATACAGAGGAGCTGTACCTGAAGAGCCTCACCTGCTCCTATTCCTCTTGGACTTCTAAGCTGAGCTTGAGCCCAGGGGGGAATGAGACTTTGGGGTCCTGAGAGGGGAGAAGGGTCCATATCCCTTACCTGTGGGAGAGCTGGGAACCATTAGGGGCTAGAAGGCAGACAGCAGCAGGCACAGGTGGTCCCAACAAACCATGCCTTTGGTGTTCATGCTCCTTCTCCGGCTGACCTGGGGCTTGGAGGTGAGCCTGCCTTCAGCAGCCGGAGGGACGGAGGGACGGTGCAAGCAGAACACATGCAGAGGCTCAATACACACTTGCACTTCAAGCCCTCTGGGAGCGCTCCCTCTCAGAAGCAGTTACTGTGCCAACAGGAGCCCCAGAAACGATGGTAAAGAGATGCATGTGGAAGGCCCCCCAAGAAAGACCATGGGAAGGCTCCCCACTGAGCCCCCACTAAGCAGCCACATAAGGGACCCACCCAGCACCAAGTGCAGCAGAGAATCAGCAAACAGAAAAGCACCAACCTAAGCCCCAAAGTTTTTGAGTGTTGTTTACTCAACAACAAATAACTGAGGATTTTACACCTAAATGAGAAAATATAGCTTGCTAACAACCAAAACTGAGGTGATGATATTCGAAGAGTAGCACAGAATTTGACCTGAACGGTGCGACTCTACATCTCTATACAAACTCATGAACCAGCTAAGCCACGTGGAGATGAAATCATTCATTCTTCTGAATCAGGCATCTCCACGGACCCCAACAGGTCAGAGCATTCTGCCCAGGGCACTTGGGCAGGGGTAGCCTGTCCTGTCCCGTCAGCTCTTCACACCCTATGACACCCACAGTTATTCATCCAGAGCAGTCCTTTGGGACTTGGAACAGGGAGGACCAGCTCAATTGGCAAATACGCATTTAGAGTAAAATAGCAATGACTTTTGCCCTGAAACGGTACCTGAGCTATCTGGGTGGCAGTGTTTCCCTTTGCCCCCATGGAGACCATGGCCAGGGCGGAGAAGATGCTCATGGGTGAGAAAAACACATTCTTCGAGTTGTCTTCAGCCAGCATTTTCAAAAGGTTTAAGGCAAAAGTCCCACTTGCTTCTGTGAGAGGCTCCATGACGGCCAACCTGGAACAATGGATTGAAAGTGAGTATCACACAGACACGGCTGACTGCACTCTCATTCTCCTTCTGACAGTTACCACTGACGCGAGGGCTCAGGGAGCAGCCAGGAACACACACAGAACTCTGAGCATTTCTCTTGGGGCCCTCAGAAATCTTTTGTGTGTTTCTAATGTTAAGTGTAAAAACTAGTTAAGTTTAGAATGCAACCCTTATCTGAGGGCCCTAAGTGCATGCTCACCTGTGAGCAGGGAGCACGTGTGCGAGGGGCACAGGAAACCCTTTCCTGGGCTCACTTCCTCGGAGCCAATACCCCACCTCTAGGGCTAGATTCTTTGGTGTGCTGCATATGCCTAGACATGCTATGTTATAATTTGAAAATCATTCAAAATGATAAATAAACCCACAGAGTTACACAAGAAAAGATAGCTGAATGTTTTTATGACATGGGACAGGACCCCATTGTAGGGTACCCCGAAGCCTTAAAATAAAAGATAAGTCAAGCCACATACAAAGATGCATACGAGTCTTACCAACCTGCAGACCTTGTTGTAGGAAACCTATGCAGATGACAAAGCTCTGGTCCTCAGCTGTGCTCTGAGGACCTCCTGCTGGGGGGCAGCCACCCTGTCCCTGTCCCGGAGCATGAGGGCACCAGGCCTGAGCATTCATAGCACCTTACCACACAACCCCAGCCCCTGGCACCACCTGCAGATCCAGGCTCTGAGTTTGGAGCCAGGCTGCACTCATCTCAGCTGCCTGGCCATGAGGCTCTGGCTGGGTCCAGAGTGGGAATATGGCTGAGCAGCAGGGGTAGGGTGAGGTGGGTTATCTTTAGGCCAGATGGACTGATGAATCACAGAACATTCAAGCACAAGAGGTCTTTAGAGATACCTATGGTCAACTCCCCATTTTATAGGGGAGAAGGTGAAGTTCACAGGAATGAAGCAATTAGTTCCAGGCCACGGAGCAGATGAGCTAATTGAAGGCCAAGGCCTTGTCTTCCAGGTACTGCTTAAAAGAAGCCTTCAGGAATAGGCAGAGGGCACAGGGCAGATAAGGGCTCAGCAGTCAGGCAAGGCAGATGGGGAAGAGGTGACTCTGGATCTCTGACAAAGTTCACAACTATTTACCAAATTAATATTTTCCTATTGAAAGAATGCCACATTCTGATGCATACCTGATGACTCACTTGAGCAGTGGGTGGGAAACCACAGAACAAGGGAGAAGCCAAAATAGCTATCTCAAGGAGTAGATGGGAGAGGAAAGGAGGTGCCCAACTGAGGGACCTGTGAGGAAATGACAAATTAACCCCTTCTTCACTGAGCAAGAACTGACATTCACAGCTGTGCCAGCAGGGCAAGGGCCACAAAGATAACTGGGTCCTAAACCTAGGAACCTGTGAACGCTCCCTTGTATGGCAAGAGGGACTTTGCAGCCATGATTGAGTGAATGGAGATGGGGAGATGATCCTGATCCAAATGGCCCCTAAGTGCAATCATATGCATTCTTGTAAGAGGGGGGAAGAGGGAGAAAAGCCGTAGAGAAAAGCAACACACAAAAAAAGCAAGATGCCACCCTGCTGCTGAGGAGGGCGAAGAGGCCTCGGGCAGAGGAATGAGGACAGCAGCTGCAGCTCTTGAAAAAGCAAGGGAAAGCAGCTCCCGAGGCCCCTCCCTTTCAGCCTTGCAAAAAGTGATTTCAAACTTCTAACCCCAGGACTCTGAGGTTTTAAAGGCACTAAGTTTGTGTTAATTTGTTTCAGCAGCCACGGAAAACTAATACAATAATTAATATACCTGACAAACCTTGTTCACTGTCCTTGTTTAAATATTTTTTGTTTTTGAACTCTTCTTTATTTGTTATAGAGAAGACTTAGGACTCTTTCCATATATATCTGAAGATCACTAATTTTTTTTTTTTTTT